GCAGGGCTGGGTGCAGGCACTGGGGTTAAACAAGAACCAGTTCTAACCTTTGCCCCAAAGCCAGGCTGGCTGGGAGGACGGGCCCTCCTGGAATCAGCTGGTTCTGCAGAGTGGACAGTGAATTGGAGAGGTTTTTTAGTCTCGACGTTCCTCCCTCGCCCATCTGGGAAGGGAATGAGGAGGTGAGGGATTGAGGGATATTCAGGATCCTTGGAGCAGGATCTGAGCAAGGGGCATGTGGCACAGTGAGGGACACTGCTCTTACCTGGGCCCTGGGCTTGACTAGAACATGAAGAACCTCCTTGCATATCTTCTTTCCAGTTCCTTCCCATGGGGGCATTACTGTATCCATCTGCTTCCCCTCAGCAATGCCAAGCAGTTTCTATAACACATCTCCTGTGTTCTTAATACTTTATTTGGAAGACAATTCACAGGGGAAAAAAGCCCCAAATGCCTTTAACAAGTACAAACTGTTGTTTCCAGTGGTCTGTATTGTACTTCTACACCCTTGGAAAGCAGCACATTTACACAGCTCAGGGTCTGTGCTATGAAATGACCATGAAAAACTTCCCTTTTTAAAGAAAAGCTGGTTTCTGCCATGGTGTTTTTTCTCCTGGTGAATTCTCCACACAGCCCTTTTCTAAAGTGCTGCCTCGTCCCAGCATAAAACTCTAATCATGCAATCCAGCCCCAGCAGCCTCTAAAAAACATCCCCAGCAGCTTCAAAACTTCCTCCTCTTCCTCATCTTCTTCCCACCAGCCTGGTTTTAGCAGCCGTAGCCTTCACCCCAGGCTTACCATGGTGTAACAGGATCCCCTGGCAGGGGGAATCTTCAGTGGCTGATAAACCCTTAACTGTTGGGAAATGAAAGCAGGTTCCCTTTGAAGTGCACCTCGCATTACAGGGAGATGCTCCAGCCTCTGTATTTTAGCTCCCAATAAAATGATTTATGAGCATAAAGGCCTGAGCCACCTTTGACTGGGGGAAGGGAAGGAGTTGCAGACGTCATTAGCTGCAAAGGAGCTCCTTTTTTTCCTCTGGGTTATAAATAAGGGGCAGAATCAACCTGTTTGGGCCATGAAATGTCCCTTCCCCTGCACGGGAAGGTAAATCCTATCAGTTGCTTTGTGGCAGGTTTCAGTGTGTTTGGGGCTGGATTCCCCAGCCAGGCTCTGGGAGGAGATACTGCCTTTCAACACGTGGTTGTGAATTCCCTTGGTGCAGGTGTATTTGCTGTTATTATCATTTATCATCTGCTTTGCTGTGATGCTCCAGACAAGATGCTCCAAGATCTTGCTGTGCTGGGTCTGGTGCCTTCTGGCACTTCAAAAGAGCCTCTATCTCCAGTGGCTGACTGTGGAAATGAACTAAAATGCAAGAAAATGAGGAGTTTATCCTCAATTTAGAGGTGCTAATCTGATGCATGGGTTGTGTAAGGACTAAAATTTGTTGAATATACTGATTTCAAATCAGAAAAGCAATACTTTCCCAAAGTCACAGGAGGAGCATAATTAAGAACTGAATTTCTTTGGTGATGATCTGCTCTCTCAGAATTTATCTTTCCTTTCTTCACAAGCCCACGTGCACTGTAGACCAAAATGGCTCATGCACAGGATTTTTTTGTTGACTCTACCTGGTTGTAAAAGGATCCAGAGTATCCTTTTATCTCCCTTAAAACATAAAGGAACCACACCCCCATACTGGATGTGGAGGATCAGGATGGGAGCAGCCATCACAGGCACGTGTGCATTTTAATTCTGAACAAAACATCCCCAGCAGCTCCAAAACTTCCTCCTCTTCCTCATCTTCTTCCCAGCAGCCTGGTTTTAGCAGCTGCAGCCTTCACCCTAGGCTTACCATGGTGTAACAGGGTCCTCTGGCAGGGGGAGTTTTTAGTGGTTGTTGAGTGCAAAGGTATGTGTTGGTGCCCAGACAACAACAACCTCACAGGGGGGGAACAGGAGACAACACAAACCTTCTCCATGTTGTGTTTTGATCATACATTGCCCAAATCAACTGACAGACGGGGCAGTGAGTCCTCGTGGGGATGGTTTTGCACTCTTGGAATTCCATTTCTCTTTCCCTCTCGGTTCCTGGATTCATGTCTTGGTTGTGTTCTCCCTTCAGGTATTTGAATTTTATGTGCTGTTCTTGGCACTGAGATCTTTATTTTTTTGGAGTGGAAGCTCTTCCATCCCAGGCCTAGACCTTTTTCTCTAAAAAGAGTAGGTTTATTTATCTCCCTGTGTTCAGCTACCAGAAATATTCAATTTTCATGTCCTTATCTGTGGAAGTGGAAGCAAATTATAAGAGACAAGGAGCCAAGGTCCATCTCTCTAATTCAAAACTGGATTTGCACACACACGCCTGTTGAGAAAAGGATGGGACCTTCCTCTTTGCATGGTCAGGGCAAACAAAAGGTTATTTATTAATTTCTGTTGCTCACTGCTCACAGAAACTGTGCCACGGATTGGGCTGGATAAAGGACTTGTGAAGTGCTACAGACCTCAGCCTTCATTCATTTCCCTCTCCTTAACTCTGTCCTAGATTTTTTTAGCGACTTTGGGTGCCAGAAGTGGCCCCAGGGATTGTGACCTGCCTGGCCCCTGGTGGCCAATGCAGAGGATGTGAGCTGACCCATTTCTGTCACGCCTTTGGGACGGTGGCAGGTTGTGCTACTCCAGCCAGCAGAGCAGGGCAGCAGGAACAGGTCTGTACAAAGAGGTTTTTGGAGCCAAGGACCTGACATCAGCACTGTAAACACTTCAGGGGCTTAATTTAGACCAACTCTTCAAAGAAAACTGGGCTTTTGTTGTTTCCATTGTATATGGATGTAAACAACAGCATGAAATTAAGGGCTGCCCAGGCCTGGGTCCTTCCTCAGCCATCAGGATCACAGCTATCGCTAGCAAGTTTTAATTAAACTGTTTCCACAGCATGACAGTGGCTAAATAACACATAGAAAGAGCAATAATAGGCTGTGATCCAGAGAACCTCACAGAAATTAGTGGGTGAAGCTCGGTGCACACTTATTTTTGCAGCAGGCACCACTGCAGTGCGTGAGGGCTGGAGACCAGCACTCCATTAAATAAATTTGCCTTTTCCTGTAAGAAAAACGCACAGGAACAGGTAACTGTTTACAGGAGGACTGGACATAAAGACCAGGGAAAGATGCCCATTTTGAGCTTTGGGTCATGTTTGATGTCCACAGCACACAGGGCTAAAATTCTGCAGTATCTGGGGAAGAGTTTTGGTTTGGCTCCTAAGATGTGGGCGCAGTTTGGGCTGCAGTGCCTCAAACCCTTGTAACACCAGCCCCTGATCTGATGTTGAGCAGCTTGGAAGCTTGATGGAGGATTTTTTTCCCCCCTGAATGCTTTACACTCTTGATTTTTGCTCCATTTTTTCTTGTTGCTGTGAAATTTAATCGTGTTTTCTAGCCCTTTAGGCCTCCCAAAGTCCAGCAGCTGCATTCTCATCTGGCTTGAAAGCTTATCCACATACTTCTGAACCCCAAGCAGGAATGGGGCCTGAGAGCCTCTCTGATTAAATGAAGCAAACCAAACCCAAGTGACAGACTGAGAAGCCCCTTCCACTATGCAGGAGGGAGATTGCCCACGATAAAACACACCAGGGCACACAGATGCATTTAGAAAAATCTCCTTGGGAGTCTTACAGGTAAACCAGCCCTGTAGGAAACATGAGCCCAGCTTTGCACAGGCATTAAAACCGGGTTTATTTTAATGCACAGAGATTTAAATTGGCTGCAGAACAATTCTGGTGCTGCTCCAAGCAGGACATGTCTTAGCATACAGACAACAGTGATTTGCTGCAGCACAGAGGAGCTGAGCAAGCCCTGTATTCCCTCCGGTCTGGTTCTATCTCTTTAGCTTGTCTAACATTGAAACCACGATGCTAATCTGTCTATTTATCCCTCCTAACAGAGCAGCCGTGTTGCTATTATGGTCCTTAATCCCTCAGCATAATTCACATAGTTGTCAGATAACAAGGCAGAATGGCCAGGTGGTAGCAGTGCTTCTATTTGGTGTGGACTCTCCCGGAATACACAAGTTAAATTATTCCTCTTCATCTCACCCTACAGCTCAGAGCACCCTCCCAACACTCTCAGCAGCATCTTGAGCCATTTAAAATGTATATGTTTACCCAGGAGACAGGGCAGGGGTTGTATTGTCATTTGGGAGAAAGGGAACTGAGGAATGGTGGTGAATATAAAAAAGATCTGAAGCCATTGGAGAGTGTCCAAGGAAGGTGGGGAAGGGCCTTGATTTGAAGCCGTGGGAGGACACTGAGGACACTTGGTGTGTTCAGCTGGAGCAGAGGAGACTGAGGGGAGACCTCACTGCAGTTCCACTTTCTGGGGAGGGGCAGAGGAGGGGCAGGGACTGAGCTCTGCTCTGGGGGGACCAGGGACAGCACCCAGGGAATGGCTGGAGCTGTGTCAGGGCAGGCTCAGGTTGGATCTCAGGAAAAGGTTCTTCCCCCAGAGGCTGGTTGGGCACTGACCAGGCTCCCCAGGGCAGTGGGCACAACACCAAGGCTGCCAGAGCTCCAGGAGGGTTTGGATGATCCTCTGGGGCACAGGGAGTGACTCTGGGAGTGGTCCCATGCAGGGCTGAGGGTTGGACTGGATGATCCTTGTGGGTCCCTTCCAGCTCAGCATATTCTGGGATTCTGTGATATCCACAGAGCCTGTGTCAGGCAACAACTTGAACCTGTTTTTGGACAGAATGTGTTTCCATCAGCCCCCAGGTGAGGTGGGACAGCAGCTCCGGGAGTCACAGGGGGGTCTTTCCTCTCCCTTCCAGGTTCAGCAACTAAAAGGACTCTGAGGAATGGAGGCAAGCACTCACAAATCTGAGTCAAGCAGCAACTTGGGTCTGGCTTTGGCCAGTGCTGTGGGACATGTTCCCGTCAGATCCTGGCTGGGGTGGAACAGCAGCTCAGGGGGAATCACTCGTGGCCTTTGCTCTCCCCCCAGGTGTGGTTCAGTAACCGCAGGGCGCGCTGGCGCAAGCAGGCGGGCGCGAACCAGCTCGCGGCCTTCAACCACCTGCTGCCGGGGGGGTTCCCGCCCACCGGGATGCCCACCCTGCCCCCCTACCAGCTGCCGGACTCCACCTACCCGACCACCACCATCTCCCAAGGTGAGCACCCTTCGCCTGCGCCGCTGCTCTTCTCTTCCCAAATCCCACCTTCCAAGACCGGGTTGGACGGGGCTTGGAGCAACCTGGGATAGTGGAAGGTGCCCCGCCCACGGCAGGGGTTGGAACTGGATGAGCTTTAAGGTCCCTTCCTACCCAAACCATTCCAGGATTCCACAGTGTCCATCCCCATCTCCTGAGCCAGATGCAGCACAGGGCTGCTCCCTTGTCCTGCCAGGGACCTCTGAGCCACCTACCCCTCTCTAGGCCCACTCCTGAGCCAGGCTTTGTCACCTGCAGTCCCCTGCTGAGGATGGAGGAGCACAGCAGCAGTGATCCATGCCATGTCTGCCCCTCCCCTGCATGAGGTGACCCTGTCTCCTGTCCCAGCCAGGTTGCCCTCAGCACCACGGTCTGTGGGGCCACCTCCCTGTCCCTTTCTCATCCCGTCTGTCCTTGAGGGAACTGCGTGTCTGGGGACATTCCCATTTCAAGGCATGTATCCTGCTCCTCCATGTGCCAACACACACCAAGTCCTGCATCCTCCAGTGAGGATTAGTTCTGGAATTCTGGGATTCTATCATCCCATTGTTCCTTGCCTTTGTCATTCATGACATCCCACTGGGTCTCTTGTAATACACGGGTGGTTTTCCTTGAGATGGGAAAACCAGGTTTTTCCTCAGGTTGGTGGAAGCTCCTCAGTTTTCTCCTCTGTCTCATGGTCCTTTCTGCTCTGTCAATGTGTCCCATGGCTGTAGCTCTGCTCAGCTTTGAAATGAGGAGCACAGCACTGTGAACTGAGTATCCTGTAGGTGATCCCTCGTTCTGGATAAAGCTCCACACTGGGGTTCCGTGGAGGGAGTATTGCCCATTTCAGTTGGCTTTGGCCTTTACAAAAGAATTTACAGCTTCTGTTCGAGGAAAAGTTAAAGGATAATTCAGATATTTCCCCCCAGCATGGCAGGTTTTGTCCCGGCACACAGTTTGTGGAACACGGCGTGTCCCAGGCGCTGAGACAGGATGGCCAAACCCAGGGGCCATTTCGCAGTGCCAGCTGTACCCCCAGCCCTGCTGAGCCCTGCTCTCTCTCCGCAGACGGGGGAAGCACCGTGCACAGGCCCCAGCCCCTGCCTCCCTCCACCATGCACCAGGGGGGACTCGCGGCCGCCGCCGACAGCGGCTCAGCCTACGGAGCCCGGCACAGCTTCTCCAGCTACTCCGACAGCTTCATGAACGCTGCAGCTCCTGCCAACCACATGAACCCCGTCAGCAACGGCCTCTCCCCACAGGTACGTGACCTGCTTCCATCCTGCCTTTAGCTGACAGGACTTGGCTGGTTCAAATCCTCTGAGAGCAGGGCGAGCTTCAGGCTGTCACAGCGTGTTCTGCTTAACGAGGGAGTCATTGCTGCTGTCAGGGAGTCCTGGAGCAGCCCAGTCAAAGCATTTGGCTCATTCCTTCATCAGCAATATCGCTCAGCACTGTTCTGCAGAGCACTTGTGTCCTCTTAGTTCCCACCTCCACGTTAACACACTGCAACCACAAACACCAGGACTCAGAGCATCAGTGTTTATCTGCTCAACCCTCCAAAATATTCCACAGCCAAAAATTCCAGGGCCCTCCAATTGTGGATTTTAACCTAATGACAGCACATTTGATGTTTTTAGTTACTTTAGAAGCACCTCATGATTTGTGGGTGACTGATTTAGAGATTAGCCAAAGCCAGCTTGTCCAAGCCTGGTTGGACCATGGAAGTGCCATGGATTTGAACTTCCTCAAAACACAGGGGTGTAGATCTGGGATTTAGTTTTGAGAAAGTAATTGTCATAGAAACAATTCTGCTAATGCTTTGCACAAGGTCAGAATGAGAGGTGTAGGTGAGTTTTAAAGGAGGAAAGGTGTTTCACACCATCTGCTTGTGTAAGGAAGTGGAGTGTGTGTGTTTTGAGGTGACCAGGCAACAGCCACGGCCTCCCCTTGGAATATACCCTTGATTTTCACATCCCTGCCTGAGCCCATGACCTGATCTGGGGTCTGTGCTCCAAAGCCCAGCTCAGCCACCCTCTGAAGTGCCTCTCCCAGGTTTGATCTGATGTTGCCCATCGGGTGTACAGCTTCTAAGTGCTGCATGTGACAGAAACAAGGCTCAGAGCAGAGAGAAGTTAAATCTCCACCATCAGTGAGCCCAGAGAGAGCAGAGCTTGTGCTCATGTGCTATGGGAGCAGACTCATGTTCTCAGCTGAGTGGAGAAGGCAGGATGTTCACCACCTGAGAATCCATCCCCCTCTAACTCCACCCTGGGATAAGAATTCTATTTTCCTGTCACCTTATCAGACAGAGCCTTTAACCTTCTCATTGTTTTACTTGCAGTAACCCGCTTTCCACGTACACATTTGCTTTTAAGTGGAACAAGGCACATATTGTACACTTCTATTCATGCTGGAGGGATACAAAAATCCCTTTTACTTTCACTCCCAGTCACTCGTGGAACATGGGGACACATGAAATGCACTACAATAGTTGTTTCAGAGTGCCAGTAAGACTGTTTAGGACAGGAAATGCAAAATAATTTGAAACTACAAGGAGAAATTAGGTGGGCATCTGAAATGAAAAGACTACAACTGTTTAGAGGAGAGTCCAATAAACAGGGACATCAGAAAGGTTTATGGATCTTGAGGTCCAATAGCTTGTGATCTCTCAAGTGTGAAAACAAACATAGAGTGTCAATGGAAAGAGGGAAATTTCGCAGCTTCTCAGAAATGGTATAAACCCTCCCCTTCTAGCTTTGAGTGGGAAAATGTAAAGGTGTGACTGGCATGAGGAAGAATATTGCCTCAAACAGGGTAATCTGGGAGGGAATAGGCAGACATGTCTCTGACAAGGGATTTCTAACAGCAGCAGGCCTGGGAGATGAGGACAGAGCCTGGAATTCAAAGGCAGGCTCCAGGTTAGACAGGTCAGGGCACGTGATTAATTCAGATGATCACAAGTGCAATTTAGCACCTTGGAATAAGTTGGGGATGAGATCCACGTGGTAGCACCAGACACGAGTCCATCCTGCAATTTCCATTTCTGGAGCTTCATCATCTCCCTCCCAGTCCCACTCAGAAATCAGAGGCTCATTGAAGTGACCAAACCAAGGCTTTCTCTCTGCTTATCCCTATCCCAAATTACCCTGCCCCCAGGCTCAGGCTGGGGAAAGATAGAGTCCTGAGCCAATAAGCCCTTTGTATGGGAAAGAGAGGATCCATTATCTGGCAGTCCTGGAGAAAAGAGAGCTTTGCACCCCCAAGAAGGAGAGATTCCCATTTTCCTAATGCTTTTAATCATGTGAGGGCCAAGATATCAGCATATAAATTCTTCTATTTCTTTTGTGCATGGAAAGGCTAACCCAGGTTATTTCATGACTGCTTTATATTTACTTATCAAACCTTCCTGCCTTTCTAAGCCCTCTGCTGTTCCTAGTGGAAGGATACAGGAAATACTCCTAATGGGATGAATGAGAACTCCTAAAAGTGTCCTGTTTTATGTAGCAGGGTGGGTAAAAGTTTAGTGAGGTATCTATATGGGATGCTCTGTGTAATTTTCCTGCTGTGCTGAGCATAATTCAGCTCTTCCATGGCATTGCAGGTAAAACCCATCACACCTCAATCCTCTCCTCCTCCTCTCTCTATCTGAAGTTGCTCTTTACAGGGGTAAATACCAGCTAGAGGGAAAGAGGGAGTTCAGGAGACAGAAAAAAAGAAGGGAACTGTAAATGATGGCAATTTGTCTGCACTGGAGACAGCCAGTTCTCTGGTTTCAGCCCTCAGCAGCAGCAGGAGGGAGATCTCTTTGCAGTTTAGACAAGAGGTGGGGGCCAGCCTGGCCCAGAGCTCCCAGCATTTGCTGCCTCTCAGCAACGATCCAATTACCCCAGGATTGGGTGTCCCAGCCAGAACCCCCAGTCCCGGTGCTGGCAGCTGGAATTCTAGAGAGGCATGGCATTCCCACTCCCAGCACAGAGAACAGAGGATTACGTGTGGCCACAAGGGCTGGGGCCCCCTGGAGGCCCCCACCCACCCACCTCAGTCCCCCGCTCGGGCAGACAGAGAGACCCCAACTTCACGTGGGAAATGGCCCCATTTCTGGCTTGTTTTCCAGCCCATGGCACACAAAGCCTTGTGCCTGCCCAGCTCAGCTGCTGGAGCCCCAGAGCTTTTCCCAGGCAGCTTCCATGGTGTCCTGCCTCTATTCCAGACCTGAGAGGTCAGCTGAGAATTTTTGCCTTCAACTCCTTCATCCCGTGATGACGTTTTTTGTGACACTTCATACAAAAACACCGACTTGGTTGTGCAAAAGACAGTCCCAGGTGATTGAAGCACTACCTGGAGTGAAGTCTCATGTCATGCTCCTTCCTAGACCTGAGTGAGAGCCCAGGGTAACCCGAGCAGTGATCTGGGCTGGTTCTGTGCTGGGACAGCCTTTGTCAGAGAGAGATTTTGCCTGTTTGGGAAAGGGAACCTCCCAGCCTGACCAGCTGCAACCACATGAGTCACTTCCAGCTGTCAGGATGCACTTGGTGCTCCCATGTTATCAGAGAGGGGCTCGGGGGAGCCAGAACGTGCAGCAGCAAAGTCCCCCCTGCTCCACAAGGGTTGGTGGGTTGGCAGCAGCAGCCCCAGGCTCAGCTGGGCTGACTCAGGGGCTCAGACCTGCCTTGGGCTGGCACTAAAGCCTGGGCCAAAACTTAGTGAGGACACAGAGACACAAAGCAACATTAAATATGATGAATAACTTAGGCATGCAGAGGGTGATTTCTGGCCCTGGAGCTTCTGTCTCACCATTTCTCACAGGAGTGGGTTGTAAACCAAGGCTGGGCATGGGTGAGATTTCACAAGCACACTGTAATTATTTCCAACTCATTTTCATCCCACAGAGGACTCATTTCCCATTTATTTGAGAATACCCATCAACCTCAACAAGGACAAGGCCAGGCACCAAGACATCCTTAGCCAGGTCACTCCTCACACTGGCAGTGAGAACAAACTCTGCATCCCTCTGTTTGGAAGTTCAGCCCTGTGCTAGCCCAGAATTGCCCCTCACTGAGCTGGGACAAGGCTTGTGACAAACAGCTTAGTCTCCTGATGAATCACAGAATCATCTCGTAGAATGGGTTGGGTTGGGAGGGACCTTATGGACCATCTCATTCCACCCCTGCCATGGGCAGGGACACCTTCCACTGTCCCAGGTTGCTTCAGGCCCTGTCCAAGCTGGCCTTAAATTCAGTCCGGTTACATCCTGAGCAGCATCAGGAACTGTGAGTGCTGCAGTGAGGGCTGAGGTGGCAGAAAATTAAGTGACTTAAACTTTGTATTACAAGACAAAAGTGGAGCCACATTGGCTGTTCCTCTGCTATTTGGGATGGTGGGAGATCCCCTGGGTGCTTTTCAAACAGCTAAGAAACAGGGTCTTACTGTATTTTCTGCTGCTTTCATCTTTAGCCTCTTCTGCCACATCTCTTCTGCCTTTTGAAGTGTCTTCATGTTTTTTTAGGAGGGTTTTGTCCATTGCTTCACTTCCTAAAATTTCCACTGCCCTTTTAGATCCAGACCTGTATCTTGAATATGTCTGACTGTTCCCTGTAGCATGCTGGAGTCTTGCAGGGGGGTATTCAAAAGCCAAAGCTCATCCCTTTGCTGCAGGTGGCCCCTGTGTAGCTGGGGAACATGTTCAGATGCAGTTCAGAGTCAGGCATTTCGTGTGCTTCCATAACATGTTATTTCTGAGACCTTTGAATCTTTTAGCAAAACCACGGGATCATCCAGAGATTAAGACAATTCCAGGAACATGAAGAGCCAAGAGAAACTTGTTCACCCTCTCACAGTTGTTGCTTTAATTTTCCGAGGGCTTTCAGTGGTTTTTTTTTTCTCCATGAGCAGATTCATTCCCACTGGAATGGCAGGTCTGGGGGTTAGAGTCAGATTTGCAATTTCTGGTTTATCCCTGAGTTTTGAGGGTGTTCCTGGAGGTACACTCAAGGCACAGCTCAGGCTCTGCCCACAGATTTCTGCTCTAAACTCAGGGACCTTCTTAGTCTGCACAGTTTGTTTTTCCTGACATCATCCCATGGCTCCATTCCCTTCCACCATCCAGGGTAATGTTTCCTCAGCCTCATCGGGGTGGGATTAGAGATCATCTGAATCCCTGTCAGGAGCTCACTGGTCCTGGCAGAAGGACGAGAAGAGCCAGCTGAGCCCTTTTTTTGGGGTAGAAAACCTGGCAGTTGGGAAGGACATGATGTTGCTG